TGCGGTATTCGCTTTGATATTCGAGCCATATCAAAGTTCAAACACTATATTAGTAAATCAGAGACAGATCAATATTTATGGTATTAATATATTATAGTATTAATTTCAATATCTCTGTGTGATTAGTTTGATGGGTTTGCTCAGGTGAATACTGTTGAGACTGAGGAGTATTCACATATATAAGAGAGATACTGCATTCTGAACAAAGGAAGCTGTAAACTGTCTATTTCTCTACATATTTATAGAGCATTGACAGCAGCAGATGGTGCATGTTACAGAAGACGACAGAAGAAACGCCTGACACCCTTCTGTAAATTTAGAGGTGGCAAAAATGAAGCATATTTTATCAAGCCGGGACCACACACAAAAATAGCACATTTATTCACTTTATTAGAAACCGGGATCCTTTATCTCAGGGATGTCCAAAGATTTTAGTAAGAGGGCAGATTTAGTTGAACAGGCTAGTCCAGGGGTTGACATCATGGATTGCAAAACTGTCTTGACTGGAATCAGGCTGTTCTGAGCTTCAAAATGATCTATAACAAAGCTGAAGTTGGCTTAATGACAAATGTCTACCATCTCACCAGCTACAGTAGCAACATTACTGGAAGAGACACAATAAAAAACAATGCCAGTACAGTTACGACATGTCTATACTGGCTGAGCTGAAGTTGGATGGATGACACAGTGAACTTGTATTTATGATCTCAACTAATGTTTAAGGTAAAGGTACACTTTATTGATCCCCATAGGGCAATGCATCCTCTGCATTTGACCCATCCTGATGCCGCTAAGGCTTCAATCAGGAGAAGTGGTCGCCGTAGTACAGGCGCCCGGGAACCCATCTCCAGATGTTGATGCACGGCTTGGTCAGAATGAGCCTGGCCATAGCCATCCGTACACTCCGCTCAATCATCATTTCACTGCATGTAACGTCTGGGTCTGGTCCCTGTGTTAGCGATTACAATCGGTCGTATTTCAACCGGCTACGCAGCGAGCGCGGAAGGCGGGTGTTGTAGGTCGGTGCCGGTGACGTCAAGAGCTTGCGCCGAACGGGCAGGTTGTGGCTTGGTAATGGCGAAAAATGCAATAGTAAAGTAATCCGGTCTGGTTCTATCAAGAAATTGAAGCAGGAGCAAGAGGAATGTTTAGCAAATGTAATCGCTGGTCAAGATTGTGGCGCTACTCCCCACGGGCTCCGTTAGCGGCAAAGGAGATGGCTAGGCTAAAAGCTAAATGCTAACAACACACTCGGGCACATTACATACGTCACGGTAAACTCAGATCCAATCGTTTCAATCGTTTCAAAGGAGTTAACCCCTCCCACCTGTAAACCGAGCTCAATGGAGCGCCTCCAGACCTTAGTACGAAATGTAATTTGTACTAAAGTGTGGTACAATCAGGCTAAGTCAGAACTACCGGTGCTGGAGGATTTAACCTAGTGTGCATGTTTTTAGTGGTAGGGGAAACCGGTGTACCAAGAAGAAACCTACTTAACACATGGAGAACATGCAAACTCCACTCAGAAAGACCCCATTCCGACCAGGACCCAGGAGAGGTGAGAGTGCTATCCACTCAGCCACCGTGCCACCCACCATCGTTGTGGTTTGAAAGTTAGGTAAACAACGTAAACAAAGCTAGGTATCATATAACGGCAAGTCTCAGGAATCTAGCATGTGAACAACCAGGAACATGAATAAATGACAACAGGGTCCAATTCATTCACTCCTACACTGTGGTGGTAAACAACTTCTGTAGCCACAGCTGCCCCGGAGGACAAATATAATATTCAGTAACAAGCGACTTACGGTTGTCAAATCCTTAGGTCGAAGCCTACATTATGAAACAGAATAATGTCAACACTACTTTTGGCTAGCAAGGCAGAGGGCCACATAAAATGACACTGAGGGCCGCAGTTGTCCCCCGGGCCTGAGTTTGGACATACCTGATTTATCTGTTTAAAATTGGGAACTGGGACTGGAAACACTCGCTAAAGCTATTCTGTCATTGGAAATAGAACTGTGCAATTATCTAGCCTCCACTCTAGCTCGATATATGTACGTAAGTATACAAATGTCATTACTGTCTCTGTTGTAAATTGCCGAGCGGAGTTTAATATTCCTGCTATGTAGACTTTCTAAAGTTTATTATGTATTATGTTCTTTCTACTCCTACACGATGATAATGTCAGCTTTTACAAATGCATTTTTTGAGGGCACTAGTACTACAGAAGATGTACTGATATACCTGATATTACTAGAATATACATTTACACTTACTTCTTTACAATGCCAAAGTTAGAGATTTATACTTACTTCATTACGCTAAAGTCAGAGATTTTGTACTTAATTCTTGCTTCTTCTTTATGCTCAGATTGGAGATTTCCGATATGTTTTATTTTAATTATGCTGATTTTAGTATACAGCTATTTTTTGTTTATCTTGAGTTGTGTGCTACTCATTCCAACAGTTCATTAACCGGTTATGCAACACTGAAATATCCCAACTGCGGGACGAATGATTAATCTCTTAATCTTAATCTTAAAATTTAAGGTGTATACTTCATTTACTTACTTACTTACTACATAATCTAGCCCTTGTTACTTAAACTTTTTTGTTGATTGCTTTCCCACTACGGTATTTTTACACGTGTATTCCAATGGGGTTTTACTGCAAATGGCAAATAAACTGAATCTGACTCAAACAATACAACTGGAATAATTGAGAAACACAATCTCTATGTCTCAACAGAACTAATAGATGACATTTTGAACAGCGGATTCCGAAAGCGCGTTTATTTTTCCGATATATACACCCTAGATATGTCTTGATAGAATATATCGCTGGTTTTATTTGAGGAGAGAGACACACTTGACTGAATAGTGCGTTGAAGAGGTTAACAGCCCATTTGTCCATCACTCAGGGCCTGTCCTTCAGAGCTCATGTGCAGCTCACGCCCTGCGCAGGTTTATTAGCATCAGTCTAGACGCGAAAGACAGCGTGAGTAATGATGACGCTTTTTGACAAGGATGCACTTTGGGTTATTTGAAAAGGCTATTGACTCCGTTATCCTATCGCTGTGAATATTAGTTAATGAAGTTTTTTTGATCAAGACTGGTTTTAATTGTTTTATTTTCTAATCTGTTATCGCCACATGCCAACGTGTTTTTAGGTATTTCGAGAGAACTTTTGTGATTTTGGGCTCTATTTCCATTTGGGCTTATTATTCCATTTACTATTCTTCCAATCTTGGCCATATCAAGTCAACTTCTACTAAAAAAGGATGCAGCAATTTATCATTATACTATAGCTTGCGCAGGAAACAGAACTACAACAAACCAGACATATCCTACAACCTCATAACGACATATGTACATTTGTTATCAGTCCATCTTGTCCATCCCAGTCATGGAAATCCATTTTTCTCTCAATAATATCGGCTTCAACCTCAGAATTTGAAAGTAGCTTGTTACTGAATATTATATTTTTCCTCCAGGGCAGCTGTGGCTGGGTTTACCGTCCGCCACAGTGTAGAAGTAAATGAATTGGACCCTGGTGTTATTTATTTATTCATGTTCCTGGTTGTTCACATGCTAGATTCCTGAGACCGGCTGTCGTCTGATACCTTACCAAGCTTTGTTTACTTATACCTAAAATGCATTTAAATCTAACTAGTTCTTTTCTCTCACACTGTTTGGTTCTATCACTAGTTCTCACATACATGTATTTTAGGCACACATATTTAGGCAAGGCAAGGCAAGTTGATTTGTATAGCAGAATTCATACACACGGCAACTCAAAGTGCTAAACAAAACAAGATAGCATTAAATTATAAATAATCACAGTACATTAAAAAGAAAGATAAAAATATAAAATCCCTCAGTTGTATGCACAGCTAAACAGAACTGTTTTTAACCTGGTTTTAAACATTGTCAGAGAGGAGGCCTGTCTCACATCTTCAGGAAGATTGTTCCAGATTTTAGAAGCATGAATCTGATAAGTTTATAATTAAGACAGAAAAAGGGAAAAATAGAGAACCCCCCTCACTCAGCCAATCAGCTCTATGCAAAAAACATTAGATCGTGACTTACAACTATGCAAAAAACAATAGGTTTTCTATGTAGATGAAACAGCATGTTGTGTTCTGAGATCTTCAAAACATGTTATTTTTATAAGACCCTCTATGTTAAGATTAATACAATGTAGTATCGAAGAGACAGAAACATTAGGTACCCCAGCTTCATAAAAATTGATCATCTATTTTATCATTGCATTTCTTGTGTTTATACTGTTTGATTCTCTGATCTGTGTGGGCAAATCGACAGCTTTGTAAAGTGATTTAGGGCGATACAATAATAGAATTGAAAATCAAATTGAATTGAAATCACAGCTTATCCACAGAGAAGACCTGCACACCAAACCCATGCCCTGTGAGTAAAGCTATATCCTCCATGGGGCCCCAAGCAGCAGCTGCCATAGCGGGACTTACAACCCAAAGAGAAGGACGAAAAAAAAGATTGACTTGTCAACATTACCCTGTCAACAACCTCTCGGTAATAACTTAGCCCGGAGGAGAGGAGAAACCCCATCTCGGCTGGCCTTAGAACGCACGCACACGGGATGGATGGATGGATACGGTGTGGAGGCTGTCTGGACGCTATTTACTTTCAGAATGTGAGAAAGAGGGCATGCTTCTATTCGGCATGCACTAGAAAACATCTCTGCAATAGATAATCCCAGCACGCTCGCTGATCAAGGCTGCAGGACAACAACAACAAACTTTTTGCACACTTCTTTCCCCTTGACGTACGCGCTTGAAATTACGCAAACTTGTGCAAGGACAAAAAAAGGAAAGTCCAATACTTCAAACGCGTTCCTGGCTCTCTTGCTTGCTTTATCCCCCTCCCTCTACGCGCGAAGCCCATCTGGAAGCAACACTGGAGCGTGTCCGCGCCGTGACAACACCATTACTTTCCGTGCGTGCCATTAAAACATACTTACCCACGCTTTTTGAGCCCGAACCAAGCAGCAGATACCAGATCCACATCATAGGGTCCTCTGCAGATCTCTCTCCCCCACCCCTAGCCTGTCTATCGGCTGTCCGTGTGTCTTGCCCACAGCGGGGAAAAGAAAAAAAAAAGAAGTATACGTAGTAAAAGTGGAACCAAACTTATCCAATGGTGACGTGCGCGCTCCGTGGTCTTATATCCATACGCTGGGATCCAATAACTTTATGGGGGGTTTTCGTGCGTAAAGTCCACTTGTTTGCCCGGATCAGGGGTAGACAGGAGGGCAGGGGGAGGTTAGCCAACAAGCGGCTGAAGCTAAGGGGCTCCAGGGCGGAGGGAGCAGCGCAGGCAGAGGCGGAGTCGCTCTGTAGAAGGTCGGACTGTCCCGGGGATAACGCAGCGCTCCTGTGGCGTGGGACCGCTAATGGACTCCTAATAACCTTAACCCTGGCTATGTTTGCGTAATTAGCCATTGGGTGTGTAATGGTTAATGGATGTAGGAGTAGATGGCTTCATATATAAATGCGTATTTGAACCCAGAGCTAATGGCTTTTCTTGCACTAGACTGTATTATACCTATAGATGTAGGCATACAAGTATATGCACCAGAGACTACAGGTGTATTCCTTATATGTGTATACTTGTCATTCTTTGTTTCTATGTTATGCTAAAGATGTTACGCTAAATACGTTTTCTTTTGAAGTACAGAGTTGTCCATCCATCCATGTTCTTCCCCTTTGTACTTAATATTCACTCTTGTGTTGTGTGCTTCTCACTCCTACTGTTCTGTAACTTATGATGCAACACTGACATTTTCCCTCGGTGGGACGAGTAAAGGATCTTTTCATCTTAATGGGGAGTTGCAACACTTTCAAGGCTCTTTTCACATGGGACAAACACTTAGTCCCTAGTTGTTGTTGCCCACAAGCAGTAAAAGTGGGATAGTATTTATTTGTGACATTTGTTATTGCAGAAAAGTGAAAAGTATGCATTTTAGATAGTAATTGAATTGAAATTAGTGTATAGTACTTGGAGATAATAAGAGGCTTAATTTTCCATTTATTTTTGATTGTTTATGAGTGTTTTATTTTTATATTTGGCTCATTTTTAAAGAAAGTAATATACAATTGTGTATTTGGCTATGAGCTGAATCTAATTCTGCAATCTGGTTGTCAGTGAAGGCTAGTTAACTGAATGGATCTGTTTGAATGTGGTCTAATGGAATGAGTTTATATGGTTTTGTTGGGTGTTATGCATATGAATAGTTGGCCACAGTTAAGCCGATGCCTTCAAGCACTTAACTGCATCCTATTTTGTTCTTCTGCTCTGCTCTGCTTTGTTATGGTAATCTATCCATTAGATGCTATCAGTATGTTTACCATTAGCAGGGTAATTAGCAGTAGCAGCACATTGTTAGGTATAGCACCTCCTGTGATGCAGATGGTGGCTTTAGGAGTGGGAAAAGTTCTGTCATCAATGATAATAAAGATTTGTTGGTGAAGTGAAAATATGTTTTCCATCGCCCCGTGTTTTAGTACTGAAACACATACAGAATCTATGCTGAGGAGCAGATGGCACATGGGGAAAGATTTAGAGCTAGCTGCGATAACAGATGGTTTACTTTGATGAGAGTTGAAGATGTAATTAGTAGGATTTCCATTAAAAGTGAAAATCAGGCACAGGCTGAAGAACCGTCTTGTTTAGACTGAAATAATGCATGTTTGCTCACTTTTTTCATGATATGGCATTTGCTATTGGTCAGGGAAAATCTAAAGTATCTATGATGTTCATTCAAAATAATTTCTTTGGCCGAAAATGCTAAACTAGAAATATTGTACATTTGATTGTAGGTTTACTACATTTTTCTTCTCAACATTTTGAGTTGCAAAAATGTATTAATTCTTTTATATTTTCAGTCTTCAATTGTAATTCTGATACTTTCATTGTCACAATGTATATTTTCTGACAATGTGCATGTTTATTTATTGATAGATAGAGACTCTATTGATCCTCGTAGGAGAGATTCAGGATTTCAGGATAGCTTTTAGTTTAATTTAAGTGTAATTAGTTGTTTCAGGATTTCAGGAAATTTATGAAGTTGAAAACGGAACACAGTATTCAGTTTTCCACAATACTTTCTTTAAAATGGTCCCTCCTCTTGGTAGAACTATGACCAGTAAAATTTGCTGGAGGAGAACTGTTGAGAACCAGTGACGACCAGTATCAAGGTTTTGAATACATTTCAACCAATCCGGAGGCTGCAGGGGTGGGTCAAACTAGTGCTTGTTTTCAAAAAGTTTCACCCTCTCTTCACAGTTTGACATTCACTTTAATAGCACTCACTATCTGTGCAGCACTTTGGAAACGGTCTTGTTAATTAAATACTTTATGTAAACACAGTGTTTTGAATGAAGAACATTATGCAAACTATCCATTTCCTAATTCCTGCACTCAGAGGGACGTTTTCTGTCAGCGATCTTACCACCAACGTTTGCACCATTTCCTTCATACACCGCTGCAATCTTCACTCATGTTTAATTCCTGAAAGAGAGCCGGGACTCAAGGCTTCACCTGTCATCACGCTCTATACTCCCTATTTCATATCTCCCAACTGCAGCCGTGCAAAATCAAGACAACCTCACATTTAACATCCTTTCTTTTAGATAGCACCACTCACCTGAAGGCAGTCACGCTCATATCCCAAATCTCTGTTTTTCAGCCGACTTTGTACGCTTTGCCAAATACTTTATCGAGCAAAAAGTCCCACGTGGCTGTCACCTGCGGGGTCTTGACTTTTGCCAAATCTTTATAAGCAGATTCGATAGTAGCAAACGATGTCCTCAAAGCTTCCTCCCTTTTTCTCACTTTCTTGTGTTTCTGTCAGGCGGTATGAGTCATGAGGCTAAATGCCGCATTTTGTTTTTTTCCCCGAGTGCTTAATAGTCTTCGAAATGACACGCATCGCCTTCAAAATGGTGAATACAATCAGCAGTAATAAAACAAAAAGCGCCTGCTGAGGAGTAAGCACATTTGTCAGTCTGTGTTAAATGGCTTTCGCTGCTTCCTCAGAGCCATCATTAACATTTGAGGCCGTTATACAAATTGTGCAGCGTGATCTCTGAATCTGCTGGGTCTGCTAAGTCCAAAAGCAAAAAAAAAAAGTCTAAAGGTACCTGATCCTTTTGACTTCACTAAGAGACACTGTTGCAGTAATCCACGTTAGATAAACCAGGTTATCTATAAACAAGCATTGACGCAATTATCCACCGGGCCCACAAATGGACTGATTACAGGACATTAAACTCTAATATGAAGGTTGTTATTGACTTAATCAGGAGAAACCCAATTAGTGGCCCATTTTGGAAAATGACTCAGAGGTAGAGAGGCAGATCTGACGTCTGATTGGAGGAGGGAATGGGAGGGACAAGGGTGCCTTTGCCGATGGCTTTTGGGCAGGAGCAAGGAGAGGAAAGGTGGAATGAGCTGTGTCCTTAATCGTGTTCCAACCAAGTAAATAATGTGTTTCTGTTTTCTTTTTTCTTTTTTATATGTGGGGAGATTTGAAGGACATTATTTTTTAATTTTGGGAGTGTATCTTTGAAAATCAGTGTTCCCCAACTTTTTGGAGCCCTGGCACAAACTCTGAAGCATTTAGTAACAATGTAAAATAAGTAAGTTACATTTATTTATATAGCGCCTTTCCCAGACCAGAGTCACAAAGCACTTTACAATTGTTGTGGGCATTTGTCCTCTCCACACAGAGATGGGAGCAGGGTTGCCAGTAGAGGAGGCACATGCCAGACCTATTGCACATGTCTTTAGAGATAGGGGATCGGGATAGGGGGAATCTGGAGGAAACATACACAGACATGGGGAGAACATGCAAACTCCACACATAAGTTTGCCTGGAGGTGGACTCGAACCCAGAGCCTTCTTACTGTAAAGCACAAGCGCTAACCACTGCCGCCTAAGTAATTCTTATCAAAGCACATTACGTAGAAACTCGCAAACAAGTCTTTCTAATAAAAAAATTAAAAATCTTTGCACATTATTTTTTTTTTTACCAAATTGGTGATATTGGACCATTTCCCAAGACACACCAAACAACATCTCAAGGCACACAAACAAGCCACGGCACACTGGTTTTAAAGTAATGTTTCCTGACTCCTGTATAAACCCTTTTTGTAAAATTGGAGTGAGAGAATAAAGGAGGACATTCACCACACTTTTGGAACAGGTCAAACCCGTATAGCCTATTTCCAAATATAACTTTTAGGGGACACTGAGAAAGTACTTTGCTGTGTTCTTTGTGCGTATGTCAAAATGCATAATTGTGCATTTGGCAGTTGATTAAATCATGCAAAACTGTCATGAAGGGTACAATAATTAAGCACAGGCAGTGAGTGAAGACTTTGAGGAGAACAGTAATTTAATTTATGTTGGTGCGTATACAATTATCCTGACCCCACTCAGAGAGGCATGTAATGGGGGCGCAGAGTAACCCACACCAGCAGCTCGGGGATGACATGTCCTTGTCACGTTAGACTGCTGTTGAGGTACGTGTGAAATACCAAGGCTCAGAGGACTGCTGATGGCACTCTGTCTCTCATGTGCGAGTCTCCTGGCGTCGTGTCCATCCTACATTTAATAAGCCAGAATGTGAAGGACATGTCCGCGCCGCTATGAGGATGACGCTCCAAAAATAGGACGAGAAGAAACACCAGGGACAAATGTGTTAATGAATACAGTCCCAGTGGTTCTGCCGGACATATGAGACCGAAGACGGATGGTCAGTTTGAAGAACGATTGGTAGAGTTAGTCCAATTTATATTGATTTTCCCTTTGCGCTTCAATGGGAGGTCTGTGAAGTTGTGATGTGACCATTACTGGTATACGGACTCAAACCTTTTCTTCGGTTTAGAAATGCCAGGATTGTAACTGATTTTGGCTGTCTTTACTTCATGAAAATAGTCTACCATCCTGTTGCAGTGTATGATTTTAAACTCTATACTTCAGTAAGTAAGATGAGCAGATAAAT